AGTGACCCCAGGAGCTGGAGAGGGCACAGGGTGGGTTTTCCCTCAGGGGCCACCCTGCTCAGAGCTGCTTTCAGATTCCCACCCACCAGAACTGGGAGGACCTTCTGTGGCTTTAAGCCACCCAGTTATGGCGACTTCTTAGGGTAGACCCAGGAGATGGATTCAGATGGGAACTTGTCCTTTAAGGACAGAACTGGACTTCTCCAGGACCGGAGGTGATGTCCCAGCACGTGGGAGACAGCTCAGGCCTCTCCCACTCTGGGTGTCCCTAGTCATCTAAGATAGCTGGGTTACTGAGTTCCCCACAGCGTCCATTTGGGGAGAACCCACAGACGTTCCCAGGCTGCCCGGGCATCTCCCCACGGTTAACTCCTCCCTCCTGGGAAGGGATAAAGCATCTGAGCCCTGGAAAGCCTCTGAAGAGTGCCCAGGAGTGGACAGGCAGCCCAGGTGTGGGAGTGGGGAGGGCTCGGCTAAGTCAGGGAACGCTGAGGAGTCTGTTTGCGGTGGAGTGTGAACCGGAAGGATTGCAGCAGGAGTTCAGAGGCCAGCCATCGGACAGCTGGAAAGGTACTCTTCAGCCGGAGGAGAGGGACTCAGAGAAGGTGTCTCTGTTACTGCCACCTCACAGGGACATTGACAAGACCCATCGTGCACATGCACCAAAGCCACCAGGCACAGCCAGGAAAGCCATTATAAAACCCTCAGGTGCAGTATTCTGGGTGCAGCGGGCTTCGCTGCCAGACAACAGGGAGCAGGGAGGAACCCTGGATCCCCCCACAATGGAGACCTGAGTCATGTTTGGACCTGGAATGGCCACTGAAGGCTCATGTGTTGAAGGCCTGTCCCCAGTGCAGCAAGGTTCAGGGGCTCTGGGAAGTGATTGGACCCTGACCTCAGCAGAGGATTCACCCCTGGTGGCTGCCCAGCTGATGGCATTCCTGGGAATGGTGGAAACTCCAGGGGGTGGGGCCACGTGGAGGACAGGGCGTGTCCCTAAAGGGTATGGCGTGTCCCTGGCCTTGTCCTTTCCCCTTCCTTCCCTCCTCTCTGCTTCCGGCTGCCTGGCTGAGCAGCTGTCCTCTCCCACACTCCTGCTCTGCCTCACCTCAGGCCTAGAGAGTGAAGCCAGCCAACCTTGGCCCCGAAACCATGGTCGACACAGACCTTTGCTCCCCTGGCCCAGTCTCCCAGGTATTCTGTCCCAGGGATGACGAACGGACCAACATCACACAGGAAAGTTTCCAGAAGGTTCCAGGTCTGGTTTACGAGGGGACCCTCATACCGACATCCAGTGATCACCTAAACCAGGCCTTTTAGAGATGAATACGGGCGCTGGCCGGTGGGATCTGCCCGGTGGTCAGCAGGTTCAGGTGTGACAAGCGTTTCTGAGACTTATCACTCCTATTATAATCTATTTTAATGTAACTGTGCCAAATATAAAAATATTTTTTTGTTTTTTTAAGTTTGTACTGACACTTAAAAATTAAAAATTATGAATTATAAAGAAACAAAAACATGTCAAACCTTGAGAAACTATAGAAGAAATACCAATGAAAACTAGAGAAGGTCACGAGAGGAGGCTCAGTGGGGAGAGGGGCAGGAAATGCTATAGAATAACTGCACATCAGAGGTCACTGTGCCAGGGACTAATGAAGTCCAGGAGCGCTGACTGCAAACAGGGGATGAGCTATTATCAGCTCCAACTGCAATGGACTCAATGTTCCTCCCCCAAATTCACATGCTGAGCTCCTACCTCCCAGTTATGGTGTCAGGAGACAGGACAAGGTCAAGGGGATGGAGCCCTCATTCAAGGGCCCAGAGAGCCCTCGGACCCTCCCCTGCCACATGGGGTTCCCTGGGTGTCAAGCTGGAAGTCTGACACAAGAAGGAGGCCCCCACCAGAGCCCCACTGCGCCACACCCTGAGCTTGGACTTCCAGCCTCCAGAACTGCAAGAAATAAGCTCCTGCTGTTTATAAGGCATGCAGTTCCTGGTGCCCAGTGACAGCCACCTGAGATGACACACACCGGGGTGATGGAGTTTCTGTACTGAGGACTGCAGTGGAGCTAGGGGCAAGCCCGCCTGTGGGAGGCTGCGGAAAGGCAGGAGGCGTCCGTCTGGAAGAAGTTTGTTTTAATTTATTTGTTTTCCCCTGGGCTGTCCTGGTTTCCTGATTTGTACACCTAACAGGACGCCCAGCCCTGGAGTCCTAATGTGGTGGGACAGCTGCACGTGTCCACGCCATCTGGCCTCCTGGTTGGGCTTGTTGGTCTCCATCTAGCTGCTCAGTCCTCTGTCACTCTGCCTGTGCTCAGGAGACTGAGCTGGCTGCCGCATGGTGGTGGGATGGCCTCGGATGTGGCGCATTCGCACATCCCTTAACTGGCTGACCTTGCCCGCGTCCTTCCCCGCAGGAGGGGAGGTTCTCAGTCCTCCTTGCACCTGGGAAGCCAGGAAGCCTGGGAATGCTGCCGAGTCAGCGGGCAGAGGGGGCGACAGCTGCCTCCAGGGCCAGCAGTGGACAAGCCAGTCCTGTCCAGGGTTTCCAGGGTCTCTCAGAGTAGCTCTGGGTGTGACGGAGATAAACGGGAGAGGAAAGGGAATTCCCCAGTTCCTGCTTGGGCTGCAGGGGTGGGAGATGTGGGGAAAAGTAAGTCACTTTGATTGTCTTTGGCTCTGGGTTGGGCTTCTCAAATGTTTCCCCATGGCCTGTCCTCAGCCTGTGCCTCCTGGACCGCACCCCACGCGGCCCCACTCCAGCTGCCCACCACTCCAAGTGCTGCCTCCCCAGGAAGCTCCCCTCCATCCCGCTCCCCAGCCACGGTCCCACGGGAGCCCGCTGGCTAGATGGCCTTCTCCTGGGAAGTCCACCACAGTGGGTCTTGCCCCTCGTGGCCACTCCCTTACCAGGGGTCGGGGCTCGGCCTCAGGCCTGCTCAGAGCTGGCCTGTGTCCCCTCCTTCTGTTTGCACGTCTGTAAACTTATGCCTTTTTAGAAACTCTCTTTTAAAAGTGGGTTTTCATTCAGTTTGGGGGGTTATATTATGTGGTCATTCAAGTTACTTCAGCCAAAAAGTAAACTGATCTATAAAATTCTACTTAACTAGGAGCTAGGAGTGAAGACTGCACGAGGCCCAGAGTCCAATTCCCCGTGACACATACACACACACACACACTCACACACTCACACACACACACACTCACTCACACACACACAGATGTACACACAATTTAAAGAGTGATTTTGTAGAGAAGAGGGCTGGTTTACGTTTGTGTTTAAGTTAAAGCGACAGGTCAAATATTTAAATAGATTTCTAAATGGTCCAGAAAATTCTGAGGCAGTAACTCTAAGATCAATGGAGACTTCAGTTTGTTTCTTCAGGGCTGGGAGTGAAGCCTGGCCTTGTGGCTCCAGGGGACCAGTCTGTCACGTTTCCCGTCTCTGTGCCTTATAACCCTCTGAGTTGCCACGATTTGCTATTTCAGGCAGATGATGTTGTGGGACCGAGAGACCCAGATCCTGGTCCTCCCTGGGTCACTGACTCACCGGGAGTCGGGGACCCCTCTTAACCTCTGGCCTCAGGCTTGCCATCTGACAAATGAGGGGTCAGCTACACCTCGAGTTCTTTCCTCCTAGAGCATCCCCTGGGTGATGCTCCGGGGTCTGCTTCCCAGGGGGCACAGGAAAGGGGACTGCGATGGTTAAGTGGGACTGTCAGCTGGACTGGATTAAAGGACACCTAGGAGACACTGGGATTGAGAGACTTCTGCGTGGGTCTCTGAGGGTGTTTCCAGAGATGATTGGGACAGCAGACTGAGGGGGAGGACCTGCCTGGAACGTGGGCAGTGCTGTCCACCCGGCCGGGGCCCAGGTGGAAAGCAAAGGAGGACATCTTGCCGGAAGGCGAGCTGCATTCTTCTTGAGCAGGCGCGTCCCTTGCTGCCGCCACCCATGCTCGTGGCCCTTGTCCAGTGGTCCTCAGGGTGGACCTCCACACCTTCAGTCTCTGTCCGGGTCCCTCTTGTGCTGAGGCCCAGCTTCCTGACTGAGCAGCTCCTGGTCCCTCCAGCTCCCCAGACTGCGACAGTCACGTGGCACGCCAGCCCCACAGGACACGTACCCTGTTGGTTCTGTTCCTCCAGGACCTGGCTAGCTCAGGGCCCGGGGCTGGGGCAGTCATGCGTTTCAGAATCCCAGCCCCTGGGACCTGCCCTCATCTTGGCAGAGGGTGGGGTGGGCTGGGGAGCAGGGGCATCGGCAGCTTCTCAGAGTCCTAATGACCTGGTGAGAGGGGGGTGCAGTCACAGGTGCCTCTGCCAACAGGCTGTCCAGGTGCTGCTCGGCACCCTGACCGTGATGTCTGAAACTCGAGTGAGCTCCCGGTGAACTGGCCCCGTCTCCGCCAGGCCTCTCCTACAGGCGTGTTGGCGCCCAGGTGTGCTCTGGGCGGACCACGCTCCTCTTTGAGAGCTCTTTTCCTGGGACCACCTGTTTTATTCTTGCCTTCTCGTGGGTTCACCTCTCAGCTGCACAAGATGTGAGAACAGATGCGCAGACTTCCCTGTACCTTCCCGGGCACGTGGCCTATCTGGTGCTCTGACCGGTGTGGTAAAGCACTCGCATGTTCGGGATCAATCAACAATAAGTTGGGTCATAGGGTACATGTTTCTGACACTCTGTGTATAATCTCAAGCCTTCATAGGCCCCAAATGTTCATCGTTGAAATTGTTCTACATCTTTATAGATGGCCCAGTTTCACCAACATGTAAGAGACCGCAGCCAGCTCAGGGGCTCGTTATGGACATCAGGAGGTAAACTGTGGGACGCACTGGCTTTGCCCTGAGGAGCCAAGACCGTCATGAGACCGTGAGCACCGTGGCCCTCGGCAGGACCCGTCCCTGTCCTGCAACACATGATGCTCCTACCCCACGGCCCCTGCCTGCAGCTGTGCCCTGCAGACGCAGCACCCCCGGCCTGGGCTCCGGGGCACACTCACCTTCACACTTGAGCAGGAAGAAGTCCGAGTTGTGGCTGAAGGAGGCGCTGAAGTAGGTGCAGTTCTCAACCAGGTCGCAGGACAGACACTGCCTGTTGAAGCTGCCCACCGTGTTGGCGCTGCGAGAGCAGAGACGCTGTGAAGCAGAGCCCGGCACACGGCCGCAACCTGCCAGATGGCTCCTGTGAGGGCGGCTGTGGTCCCTGCTGCTGACCTTCTGGGCCTTGTCCTGTCAGTCCCCTGCCTGGGCCCTGGGAGACCCCCCCCCCCCACACGTCTTGCCCACACCTTGGCTCCTGGGACTGGGTGTACTTGGTCACCTATGGCTCTGTGTGGCCTGGTATGAGGACAGCCATGGTCCAGTACCCGTGCTCCACAACCGCATGTGCTACTCTCTGAGTGGACAATTTGGCCATGTGGGGACAGCAGAGATGTTGACACACCAGCGGTTCCTCTGAGTGCCAAACACCAGCGTGTGAGAAGCAGGAACTCGTAGACACCAGCCAAACCCAGCTCCGGCTGTTTCCAAAGCCCAAAGCTCCCTAAGGTGGGACACGGTGGCCTTGGTGGTGCCCACCCAGTGGAGCTAGGTGAGTGGGGACCGATTTGAAGATAGCACCCAGGCCCACCCTGGTCAAGTACAACTTCGGGTCCAGAAGGCCTAACGTGTATCCCCAAATGGAAAGATGCAGAGATGTCCGGTCCCTGGAGGAAGCACTCCTCAGCACACCGCCTGGGCAGGGTCCACTCTGACCCCAGATTCCAGAACGGAGCCTGTCGGGGCAAGCGTGGAGATACTTCAGGGGAGAGAGGAGGCAGCTTCAACCACACACCTTACTGGATGCCGCTGGCGGCTGCCTCCCCTCCATTTATGAATTTGGGAACTGCCTGATTTCAGTGACCCTAGCAGAGGAGCGGTGATGTCGGGTCTATGGAGAGAAGCAGCCTGCGATGGCGGGTGCCTGCCACCCTCTGCCAGGGTTCGACTCAGCACAGAGCGGGGGGCCACAGGCCGTGGCTCCAGCCCTCTGGTCTACACTGGGGGGGTGCCCACTCCAGCAGCCTGTTGTGGTCTCCTTTTGGTTGGGAGGTGCCCAGGGGGTGCCGACTGTCCCTCTTCACCTGTGCCACCCTGGCAGGAAGCACCTGGGGCCACTTCAGAGCCCCAAGTTTCCTCCCAAGAGAACGTGACCAGGCCTGGGTGTTTCTCATCAGGTCTCTCCTTGCGGCTAGACTCCTTCCCTGCCTCCCTGCTCCCGTGTGCAAGGGGGGTTCTGCAGGCGGGAGGAGCCGGGGCTACCTGTAGAGCTGTCGTCTCCGCGGCAGGTCCTCCGTGCTCAGGAAGTAGCTGTGAAGAGGGCAAGGCCACAGGTTAGTGTGCCGCAGGGCGTCTGCCCTCACACAGCCCCCGGGACCTGGGGGCCATGGGACACAACAGTGGGGGGGCTTGGGGCCCGAGGTGTCTCCTGCACCGCCTTCTCCTCAGTGCAGGGTCCTGCTGCAGCCGGTGAGGGTGCGGGGAGGTGCCCCCGGATTCGGATGTGGGGATGTCTTGTGACCCTCTAGGGGGCAAGGGCCGAGGACACCTTTTACAAGGTCTCACCCACGACCCCGCAAGCTTTCAGGGCTTGAGCAGGGAGGGGAGCAGCGCGGGTAAGCGTGGGCCGGGCCTCCGGGGTCTTCCCCACCAGCCGGGTGACTGCAGTAAATCCCTTGCCTTCCCCAGCCCCCTCCCTCTTGGAGGTGGGAGAGCAGCGAGCCCCTCCGGCCGTCACTGCGTCAGGGAGATAATGCAGCACACCCTGGGCCACTCCCAGGACTGTAGCCCCCGCCAGCAGCACCGCAGGGCTGTGGGGAAAGCGTCACCATGGCAGGGAGCCTTGCACCTTGGACGTCCAGGACGCCTGTCAGGGGAGGCTGGAGTGAGTGCCACCGTCTAGGACAGAAGGGGCTCGGTGCCTTTCCCTGCACCACCAACAGGATGGGACTAGAGACAGCAGAGGCCCCGGCCAGCAGGGAGGGCCCAGCAGCCGCGCTCACTCACATCTTATTCCGCTTCTCATCATAGGACAGGATCTTGGTCACGTCCCAGTCCCCGGAGGTGATGGACTGGATGTTGTCGTTGCTGCTGTTGGGCTGAAACACAGACAGGCATCAGGAGAGAGGGGCTGGGCCCCAGGCTCGAGCCACACAGACGAAGGCAGTGCCTGCCCCGCCACTGCTGGCTTCCGCAAGGCCTGGCTGGAAGAGGCCTCCCCGCCCCACCCTCCCGGGTACCAGCATCCCAGTTCCTCCGACCAGCATCTCCTGGAGAGGCAGGTTTGTGTGCTGCTGATGTTGTATCTCTGACATCTGTGAACCTACTGAGCAGAGTTCTTCCTCCAAGGGCCGCGGAGGGAGGAAAGGGGGGAATGTGCGGAAATGGATGAGACCAGGCAAGAGAAAGGAGATAGGCAAAGGAGGGAGGAAGCCAGGCCCCATGGTACACGCCTGTAACCCCAGTGGCTTGGGAGGCTGAGGCAGGAGGACAGCAAGTTCAAGGTCAGCCTCAGCAACTTCGCGAGGCCCTGTCTCAAAATAAAAAAAAATAATAAAAAAGTGCTGGGGATGTGGTTCAGTGATTAAGTGCTCCTGGGTTCAATCCCCAGTACCAAAACAAAGCACCCAAAACAAACTCCTCTAGTAATTCAAGAGATGCAAATCAAAACGACTCTAAGATTTCATCTCACTCCATGCAGAATGTCAATTATCAAGAATACAAGCAATAGTAAGTGTTGGCGAGGATGTGGGGGAAAAGGCACACTCATGCATTGCTGGTAGGACTGCAAATTGGTGCAGCCAATATGGAAAGCAGTATGGAGATTCCTTAGAAAACGTGGAATGGAACCACCATTTGACCCAGCTATCCCTCTCCTTGGTTTATACCCAAAGGACTTAAAAACAGCATATTACAGGGGCACAGCCACATCAAGGTTTACAGCAGCTCAATTCACAATAGCTAAACTGTGAAGCCAACCTAGATGCCCTTCAGTGGATGAGTGGATAAAGAAACTGTGGTATATACACAGCGGAATATTGCTCAGCATTAAAAGAGAATAAAATCATGGCGTTTGCAGGTAAATGGATGGAGTTGGACAATATCATGCTAAGTGAAGTTAGCCAATCCCCAAATCCAAAGACCGAACGTTCTCCCTATTATGGGTGCTGACCCATAATGGGGGGCTGTGGGGAGAAATTGATTGGGCAAAGGGGAGGCAGGGAAGGGAAGCGTGCGTGGAGACGGGAAGAATGGGGGATGAGGTGGACATCGTTACCTAGGTACACGTGTGGCTGACTGACCATGTGGTGCGACGCTACATTGTGTACAGCCAGAGAATGAAAGGCTGTGCTCTATTTGTGCACAAGGAATCAAAATGCGTTCTGCTGTCATGTTAACTAATTAGAACAAATTTTAAAAAAGTCAAAAAAAGAAAAACTGGAGGGAAGGAGGGGCAGCGTGGCTTGGTCACTCTCTGTGCCCTTGCCAAGGACAGGGTAGAGCAGAGTAGCTGATGATCCCATGTGCCCCACCCCAGTGCCTCAGTGCCCAGCACCATCATGGCAACAGTGGGTCACCAGGGGAGTGGCAGGAGATGTCTCCATGGTGACTTGGGTGTGAGGTGCAGCTGGGCAGCTGTTTTGGGCTGCTGGTGCCATGAGAGGCGGATACCACGACAGGGATGCCACAGTGGAGATCACTCAGGTGACAGGCCTGGGGCCAACCCCAGGACACAGACATGGGAGCTGGGAGATGGAAGGCCCTGGGAGGTCCAAAGCAAAGGGGCAGGCAGGGCGTGGGCACCTGGGTGAGGGGAGACCTTCCTTCTGCTGAATGTCAACAGGGTCCCCAGCAAACGCAGAGGCCAGGGTGGAAGGAACACATCTAAAATTCTTGACCTTGTTTGCAATGTCCCCACAGGAGAAAACAAAGGCATCTGGGGCTATAGAACCAAGACCATAGAAGTGAGTGGATGAAAAGGTTTTACGGAGATTCTTCAAGTCACGTGATTAAGTGGTCTGAAGCCCAGATGCCAGCGCCTGACCCCTGCAGTAGACGTGATTTGTACCCAGGGAGGTGCAGGTGTCTCCCTCAGCACCCCAGGGCCCCTGGGGGCGGTGCTCCTTCCCGGAGTTTCCGTTTGAAACTGATTTCACAAGGTCCTATTTGCAGAATGTTTCTTATTAATGCTTTCCCTAAGTTCCTATTTACCTGCCCTGACCCTTCATAACTTTAGATGGTTCCCCAAATGGGACCCACACACAGAGGACGGGGTCTGTGATCAGGGACATGCCACTCCTGCATCTCCAGTTTCAGGGAAGAGTTCCTAAGGTTCCGCGTGAGGCAATGAGGCCTCTTAGGGTCACCTCTGAGCAGGGGCCTGTATTTGCCAGGATGCACACTTTCGAGTCAAAATTCACGTCTATTAATTTCTGAGGTCACTGCTCAGGGGCGCTCCTACCCAACCACTGAAGCCCAGAGTCAGGTGTTTGAACAGGGTCCCCTCTGCCATTGCCAGATGTGTCATACGCTCACACTTGTGCCCTGGAGCATTAATGCCAAGAGCAAAGCTCCACCCGCTGCCCTGCTCAGAACCTCTACCCAGGACAAGTGCAGCCTTCTGCCCCCGCCTCGGGAGCCCAGCCTGAGTGTCAGCAGCCTGGGGTCCCCTGGGGCCCTTGGAAAGGACCTGTGAGTTTGGCCACGAGAAGCGAGTACCAACAGCACATGCAGCTATGGAAACCAGCAGGACTTACCTGGGATGAGGACACAGTGATGTGGTAGAACTTTCCTCGTCCCCCCTGTGGGATCGCTCTGACAAAGAAAAACTTTCGGCCATCCTTGGAGAACACCGGCTCTTCATTCTGCACACAGAGTCAACAGACCAAGTCAACACAGAGCTCTGTCTGATTTTGAAGAGGGTGGACTGGGATAAGACGCACCCTGAGGTACATTTTCTAGGTGATTTCTAAAGAGATGCAGTTGGGAAAACAAGTGCTGTGTGGGGCCTCTCCTTTCCTTGGGGATCATGAGCCAAACGGGGGTTTTCTAGAAGAGACACAAGGGGAAGTTAAGAGGCAGATAAAAAGGCAGCCCTAGTTTCTAAAGCATGGGCCAAGAGACGGCCGTGTGCACGTGAGAAGCTCACCTGAGAGCAGAGACTGAGCTCCGGAACACTCTGTGCTGCGCCCCCCAAACACACGCTGCAAACCCCGGGGACTGCAGTTCCTGCAGTGGCTTCTCTCACACACCAGGAGGAGCACGATTCTGAGCAATCACAACCTCCCTCTGCCTTTCAATCCTTTAATTCTTTTCCCTAATAAAAACCAGCCCACGCAGGGCATGGTGGCCCGTGTCTGCAATCCCAGGGGCTCAGGAGGCTGAGGCAGGAAGACGGCCAGTTCAAAGCCAGCCTCAGCAACTTAGCAAGGGCCTAAGTAACTCAGTGAGTCCCTGTCTCTAAATAAAATGTAAACAAGGGCTGGGGATGGGGCTCAGTGGTTAAGCACCCCTGGGTTCAATCCTGGTATCAAAAAAAAAAAAAAAGAAAGAAAAAAAAATCCACCACATACTGAATAGCCCATCAAGAAGAAGGAAAAAAACCAAAAACAGGACAAATTCTATATATTCCAAAATGTAGGCTGGAGGAAGGCTCACCAGGGCTTCCCTCTCCAGGGAAGTTCAGCACAAGGCATAACCGTGTCAGCAAGTGAGCCTGGAAAGACTGTCACTTTTTCCTGGAAACAACCAGCATCTCCCATCTCCCCTGGGCTGGCCCCTGGATTCCAGACCAGAGGGGTGTATTGTCACCTCGTCTCCGTCCTTAGGCCCCCTAGCACTGAGCTGCCAGTCGCTCAGCCCCAGCCGGCCCCAGCAGGGTGGCTGTCACTTTGATGGGTGAAAGGGGATTTCGCAACAGCAGCATCTCCGTCTCTCTGAGGCTCACGGTTGAGAGTTTCCATCCGTGAACACCAATTAGTTGGCTACCCATCTATTTCCTGACTCCAGGAGCTCCATGCGGATGCAGGGATGAGGACAAATGGTCAACACACCCAGCTGGCACGGGAACTCATTTCCCCGCAGTGAATGAACATATGCAAATATGATGTGCCCAGAGAAATCAACTAACGTGATTAAAATGACATTTAATCTTCATGAATATTTGCAATAAAATGAAACCTTTAATCTGCAAATATTGATTTTTCTATTTAGAGCTGGAAGTGGGGTATTTAAAAGCACAGGGAGTGGAAAGACCAGCCATTAACTGGCCTTTCTCCATGGACTTCTGTTTGCCAACAGCAGGACGGACGAGGCGGTATTCTGCCCTCGTTTTCTGGGGGGAAATGTTTGTACTTTTGGCAGAGATTAAATGTGGTATAATTAATTCTGGCCAGAGGCATTGTGTTTACAACGAGAAAGCCTCGGCATTGGGACGCGACCTTTCGGGCTCCACCGAAACCCTCCGTGGTACACCAGCAAAGGCCCCTGCCCCGAGGGCTGCTCTCGGACTCCGCTCCCGTGTGGGGAATGTGGCTAGTGCGAAGCCCAGGGCTTCCTCACCGGGGTCTGGATTTCAGTCCTGGCTCTGCTTCTCCTTTGATCTGGGGGAACCTTCGAAGTCTCTCTGGTATGGCTCCTGGCTCCCAGGACTCCATTCACAGCAGGTCCATTTAGAAGGAGTCCTTGTATCGGCGGGACACCTTCTCTGGGCTCTTTGGAGCATTTCTGCCAATTCTTTCCATGATTCACATATATTTGTCTTGTCCAAGCTCCCGGCCCGAATCTTGAAACCACAAACCCTAAATCTGGTTAAGGAAACAGACCCACAGGACTAACTTCAAGCAGAATGACAGGCTCAGGTGCTGGGCTGTGGAGACCTCGGGGGTGGACGGAGGGCACTGGCCATTGCTCTGGGTGTTCTTGGAGTCCAGGGAACTTGCTGGCATCCACACAGGTCTTCGCCTCTTCTTTCTGGCTCCCCTCTGTGGGTTTTGCTGCACTCTGAGAAGTGCAGGAGACGAGGCCCAGAGAGGGCTGGCGGTGCTGCTGTGGTTCACCCAGAGGTGCTGCAACAGGGGCCTGGACACTGGTTCCTCTGGGCAGACAGGCGGTCTCAGGCCTGCAGGACTTCCTACCTCGTCTCTCCTACACTGTCTGAGCAAGCTCCGGTGACCCATTGGAGATGATGTTCGAGGGACTGTGGCCTCAGCGTGGGTCTCCCTTGATGGTTCCTGCAGACCTCTGCTATGTGCCCCTGAGCCTGAAGAAGCAGCCACCAGCTTGGTGGCAGTAGACGGCAAGTCCAGACTTAGTTCCTAAGTCACCCTCCAGCACATCACGGCACCTTGCAGGATGCAGAAACAGGACAGATTATCTTTGAAAAGCAGGGTGCACAAATTCTTTCCTTTAGGGAAGAAGGGGGCAACGAGAAGCTGTTTGCATCTGGATCTCATCAGGGAGCCATGGCCTCCACACAGATGCATGGTCTTAGGATGTTCAGACATGTCCCCTCTCCTCTTGCTGTGGCCCCAGCACAGCATCTGGGAGAATGTTTCTCTAACAGAACGTGAGGCTTTAAACTAAGGGCTACTTGTATAGTTTAAGCTTTTGTTTATTATAATGTTAGCTGTTTGCTACTAAATGCCTTAAAGTTTACCTTTTAAAACCAAAAGAGTGATTATTTTTATCTATGCAACTTTCAAGTGTTGAGTTGCTTGGCTGGGAAGGACCTGGTTTCTGAATCCCATTCAGGATGTCCACCCTGTGCCTGGGTTGGTGTCCATGAGAAATGCAGTCAATAAAACCAGAAAAGTCCAGCTGGTGATCTTGGCTCCAAGGCCTCTCTGCAGCACTGAGGAAAAGAGGAGCAGAGGACAGATGGATGGTCGGTCCCCAGCCCCTGAGGACCATGCACTGCTGTCCATCCAGGAGTGAATCCCTGGTGTCGGCCAGGAGGCTGGGCTCCCCAGGAGCACTCTGGGAGATGGACAGGGAAGCAGGAGTGGGAGCCTCTCTCCTGTCTTCCATCAGCCTCTCCTGCCCTCCACCAGTGACCACTGCTGTTAGTCCCCACTCCCCCAGCACCTGGTGACCCCGCAGTCTTCTGAGTTAAGGAACTTGCTGACCCTGGACACTTTGTGGGAATGGAATCATATCACAGGTGGCGTTTGTGTCTGGCTCCTTTCCCGGTCACAGCCAGAAGGTGGAAACCACCCCAAATGCCCACCTTTCCTTTGTCTCTTGATGGACGGTTGACTCCTTACCTTGCCTGCGGCGAATAACGCCGCCATGAACACAGGAGCTCCGAAGTCTCTTCAGCGTTTTTACTCCATGCCCTTTGGCTCTCGCCCAGAATGGGATTTCTGGATCACACGCAGGTCCATTTTAGTTGTTCCAGAAGGCTCCATGCTGCTTCCCTAAGGCCTTTGATAACTTCCACTCCTGTTCCCTTCCTCCACACCCTCTCCACTTCCTGACAAGTGCCATTCCACCAGACCCGAGGCACAGCTCCTTGAGATTTCAATTTGCATTTTCTGATGACAATGACTTTGAGCCTTTTAAACACACCTGTTGGCGATCTTTTAAACATACCTGTGTCTCCCTTTGAGGAACGTCTGTTCAGATCACTTGCCCATCTTTGGACGGAGCTTCTTGGTCTCTCCCTACTGAGTTGTCTGGGATCCTTAGGTGGTGGGGCTGAACCCTGCGTCGGGCTGCAGGCTTTCCTCCTGTCGGGCAGGTCATCTCTTCCCCCTGAGGTCTCCTGGGCCATGCAGGGCTTTCAGTTGGATGCAATCCCATTTCTCTACTGTGGCTCTCATTGCCTGGGCTCTTAGGTTTGAATCCAGAACACTATCGCCCAGCCCAGTGGTCATGGAGCTTCCCTGTGTTCTCTGCTAGTGGTTGGGTGGCCTCAGGTCTTACGTTGGAGTCTGCAATGCCCTTGGAGGAGGTCTTCTCCCCACTCCTGCCTCCCCTCCCCCACGCCGTTTTGTTCCACTGATGGAGAGTCTGTTCCACCACCGCCATGCCGTTTGGTCACGACGGTCACGTTTTGCCACTACGGCTTCCAGGTGTGTTTTGGAGTCAGACGGTGTGATCTCTCCAGCTTGTTATCTTCACTCAGGATTGCTTTGACAATTCAGGGTCTTTTGTGGCTTCATGTAAATTTTAAGGTTGTTTTTTCTATTTTTAAGAAAACGATCACTGATGGTTTTAATAATTGATTTCTAAATACTTATTAAACATATATAACTATATAGATAATGGATACTTAAAAATGATTCTTTCAACTGATATTTAAAAATGACGTTTCAACTGATAACATGAAAACATCACTTTTGATAGCAGGTGCTTGGTCCAGGTGGCATTCAACAACTTTCAGTTGCTCAGTCTTAGGGTTCCTGAGTTTTCTCTCATTCTTGATAACTTCTTGGCTTGGACTTGGCACCCAAATTTGGTCCCAGGGAAACAAAAGTGGTCCCACTGAACCTTTCCTCTTTCGTATCAGAAAAAAGATGTGTTTAAAGTAGCCATGTCCATTTGTGAGGTCTCTCCCCCTGTGATAATTAACAGAATCCGTGACTGATCGCTAGCTCCACAATTAACGAAGCACATAGCAGTCTGAGCGCTAGAATGTTCTTGGAGGGCCTCTGATGATAGTTTTATTGTCCAACTTTAGTTATTTTTCATAAGTAGAAGGTACTGTTTCAATAGAAAAGCGTGTTTGTACTATTCCACAATAATCCTTGAGGATTTGAAGACGATTTTATTCCTTAGTTGGGATAAGAAGAAAGAACAGATCTAAAAATTTTCCTGCCTGTTCCTTCTAAAGCAAGAGCTTGGAATGAGACAAAAAGAGCTGAAGAAAGAAAACACCAGTTGTTACGGTTTGGATCTTGATGTCCCTCCTGAGCTCCCTGTGGAAGGCCCAGTCCCTGGTGCAGCAGTGTTCGGAGGTGGGTTGGGGGTGACTGGATCTTGAGGGCTCTGACCTCAGCAGTGGGGTGATCCATTGGTGGATTCAGGCTCCACGGGCTTGCGGGGAGGGCCTTCGTTGCCAAAGCAAGCTCTCTCTGCTTCGCGGGCACCAGGAGGCCAGCAGCTCTACTCATCACGAGCTCCTGGATACATGGCACCGTCTCACCTGGGGCCACAGCAGTGGGCCCCGCCACCAGGGACTGTGAACTCTGAAACCACGAGCCAAAATAGACCTTTCCTCCTTACACACTGGTGCGCTCAGGCATTTTGCTACGAAAATGGACACAGTAGTGCTGAGGGTTTCTTGTGTGTGAGTTTATTGTTTATTTTTAAAGTATTGTCACAGGCTGACTTACCCCAGCTTCTCCCAACCTCTCTTGATTGGTGTGTGTGAGTGTGAGTGTGTGTGTTAGTGTGAGTGTGTGTGTGCACGCGCACCACGCCCCAGTCCTGGTCTTTCTAGGCTCGAGCTCCCACAGCCTGTTCTAACGACCTGACTTTATCTGAAGGTTAAAGAGCTCCTGGAGGCTGTGAGGAGGGGCCTGGTGAGTCTCAACGGTGTCCCCTTTGGGTCAGACATCGACAAGACCACCCCAGGAATAAGCAGGAGTCTTGACCAGGCTGCCCTTCTCATGAGCAGCGTGGCTCACGTTGGCAATCTTCATGGACTCATCATTCTGGGTTCACCCAGGGACCGCATTAGAGAACCTCCGCCTCTCCAACACTCTGTCCCAAAGAGCAGCGATTTTCTACTGTCTCCAGGGAACTCAGCTTATGCAGTCCTGCCCTGGGGGCTTCCAGTGAGACGGGGAAGAGCCTCACTGCCCTCCCATCCCGGGAGCCTTGCACACTTCTGTGCTCCTGGCTGGGGAGCCCCGTGTGCCTGGGCGGGAGAAGCCGTGGGAAGGGACAGACTCGGGCCTGCAGAGGGCTCGGGAGGGATGACAGCACTCCTCAGGGACAGTTACCTGTCTGTGCAGCCAAGCTTCACTTTCATCCTCGTGTTTCTGAAAGGAAATAAGAGCATTAGAGAGGGTTTGGTGTTGTTTGCGCTGCGTGGTCAACAGTGCAGAAAGCAATCTGTTCTCCTGCACGGCGGCTTCGCGAGCACGGGCAGTGCGGCAGAGGCAGAGGAGGCGCCCCCTCTCCTCCTGTGGCTCAGTGCCAAACACAAGTGTCCTTGAACAAGAAGAGAGCCACTGTCCCTGACGACAAGTGCAATCCCCGCCAGAGAGGAATCCCACGGAAGACGGTGGCACTTACTCCACTTGGTGTCACACTGGCCAGCGGTGTGTCCCTCTGGTGGTCACTGCTGACCAGGCGTGTGCCCGCTTACAGGCAAAGCTCGGGTGCTGCGCTGCTCTAGGGTTCTGGTGTGTACAGGGGAACACTGTCATAATCTAATCTGACGCTCTAAGGAGCAATACTGGTGGGTTGAAACCCTTTGAAAGTGTCAAAATATGAGAAAAGATCTCACAGGATTGCACAGAAAGATGCACCAACAAAAACAAAGCCCCAAACACAGGGAGAAGCTGTTGGGCACACTTGATGCCATCCCAGGGCACCAGGGGCTGGCACAGGCCTGCCCACGGGCTCCTTGGTGGCTGCTTTTCAGCCTGGGGATTCTGGGTGGGAGGAGCGCTGTAGGTGACACATGCTGATTGGGCGCAGAGAAGATGCGTCCAGCCTCCGGCTCCCGGAGAAGCCCCTCAGAACAAACCAGAACCTCCAAATGAGATAAGAGGCAAGGAAATCCCTGACCAACTGGAAACAAGTCACTGGGGTAGCCCAGCCACTGCCTGCACCACCCAGGTGGGGATGTCCCAGCCCTAAGGTCACTTTCCATTCCCAGAGTCTCTGAAAGGCCTGGCTGAGTGTGTTCATGGGGCTCAGAACTTGAGGCCAGGGACCTGCGCTCCGGGCTGACCAGCCCTGTGGCTGCAGTGTCCAGCCTGGAGGGGCGGCCTGCCTTTCTTGACTCTACCACACGCTGTCACCCAGGCTCTTGGACATCTGGCTGGGGCTGCGTGTACTGGGGAGGGAGGAGCCTGCCTCTGGGTTGAGTGGAGGAGATGGCAGCAGAAAAGGGCCCTCCAGGCTGAGGGACACTGCACCGGGGCTCCCGCCCAAGCCTGTCCTTTCCCCTCCTGGAGCATCAACTAGAAAGCTGGGCTCCTCCGCAACTCAGTGCTGCTGGGTAGAGACCAGGGTCTGCAGGCGCTGCAAGGAGGGATCCGGTGGCCAGGTCGCAGGGATCCTGGGCTTTCGCAGCAGTCCCAGAGTAGCCCACCAGGTGGCACCAGAGCCAGCCCAGCCAGGGGCCACCTGTGAACTCCTCCGGAGCCTCCGCCTACCTTTGTGCACACCCCTGTGGTGGCATCGCACAGGGTCAGGATGGACACGTTCTGCGCGCGGTTCAGCCAGGTCACAGCCACCTTGGTGCTGGTCGCCCACTTCACCATGGTGATGTAGTACTCCCTGCAAACACGGAAAGGCACAGAGTGAGCAGCCTTGTGGGAGCACAGGAGACCAGGAGCCTGTCACACCACAGCCCTGGGTACAGGGTCCATGACCATAATGTGTGGGTGACAGAGGCCGCTGCAGTTCTAGAATGGGTTTGTCAAGAATGCAGGAGGACACAGAATCGTGTGGGCAGCCAGGCACTCTGAGACAGCCACTGCCTGCACCACCCAGGTGGGGATGTCCCAGCCCTGAGGTCACCCACTGGACATGGTGTACTGCTGATCTGGGCTTCATCCACAGGCAAATGCCCAACTCCAGAGGCAGTGATGGGGTGGGATGAGAGGCAGGGTGGAGAAAGAGCCAGGCAGGGGAGAGAGAGGGGCCAGAGAGGGGCTTCCTGGAGACCCCAGCTCCCAGCTAATGAGGGCTGCCACGGCTCTGCTGTGCCCTCCTCTTCCTTAAAGTCAAAATACCCAGTGGCGTTCTCTGTCGGACTGGGGATGCTGGCTCTTGCTTCAGGTGAACGTGGTTTGATCTCCTAAGTGTTACATGGGAGGGAAACTGGGGCTTTGGGTCACTCTTTCACCCAGAGCTTTCTAAAAAAGTGTGACCCCTCTCCCCAATCTTACATTTAAGAAGAAGAAAATGTCAGGAAACTAAGTGCCCAAAAGGAGTCGCGGGTGAATGCCAAGAATGTTCTAGAAGCCAGCTAACACTGTTCAATCACCTACACCAACGTATCAATAATGAGATCTACTGTTTAGAACCACTACTTTGTGGTCTTACAAGACCTTTTATCACTAAAAGCTGTGGTGCATCTCAGGCAACAGGGGAGCGGCCTCACTGCACAGAATAGTAATCCTAACAGAAAGGTCTAAACAGCCAGACGCTTAGAGCCAGCCCTCGTCAACCAGGAAATCAAATCGCTGAGGGCCTCGCATTGCCCAGATCTACCTGCTAATAACCGAGTTTTCAATAACGCCCTAAATCAAGGGTACATGACAATGAGGAGTCTCCAAGCAGAAGGAGTCTGACCCTGGTGGTCCCCAGCATGGGGCCAGGAGGGGCTCTGGACCTGCCCATGCTGGGAATTTGCAGAGGACATGGTGGTGAGTAGCACCCCAGATACGTGCACAAAGAGCCTGGCACTTGGGCATAGTTTACAATGCGTGGCTCAATTCATGATTTTCAAGACCCAGCCAGTTGTGTTCACACCACCTGCTCCCCAGCCTGCAGGCCCTGCTCCCCGTAAACGGGCTGGGTGTTTACCAGGTCTGTGACCTCCCTCTGTCCTCTGCCCTGGCTTCTGCTCCAACAGACAATGTGCTGTTTGGGCCTCATTTCCCAAGGTCCCAGCAGTTTCACTGCTCTAGGGCTGGAGCAGCGTTTATGAAGATGGAATTTGTTATCTCTCTGAACATCTGTAGCCATAAACATTTTACTTCACTTTGATCCTTAAAAATATCTCAAGATCTGAGCTCGGGACTTGCTTCACATGGAACAAGTTCTATCTTATGCGGTACCACAGCCGGTCTTCCAGTCTGCATGGGATTAAAGGGCTCTGGGAACAACGGACAGGAGTGACTGATGGCCTGGGAGCTGCTTCCCTGTCCAGGAAGTCTGCACCCAGGCTGCCTGTGAAGCCCCACAGGCACCGTGTTCACTCTGCCAGCACACGTTGCGTGGGCATGAAATCAAGAAGGAAAGGGAAGAGCCCCAGGGTGACGGATTTTCCCCAAGACCCTCATACTGAGTAGGGACAAGCCTAGTTTTACTTCCATTTGTTGGAAACATCCTGTGTGTCTTCCTGTTTTTTAGGGTGGTGTTCTGCACAAGTCTTCTTCATAGGGGTCAAATAGGCCTGTGTGTTATTGTCAACTTTCTATGTCCTAATTTTGCATATGAAACATCATAAATTGAAATTCATGGGTGGATGCAAACCTCCTTTTGGTAACCAAATCCCTAGCAATACTGTTGGGACAAGTCGTCAAGAATGTCCGGTGGGGAGCTTGGGCTGCAGCCGGGTCCTGGGGCAGCGGTAGCAACTCCGAGGCCAACCTAGCTGTTCTCCGGCTCACACTTGAAGTCCTCGGTCACCAAACGCCTAAGGCAGCACAAGCTTCCTGCATGGAGCCAGGGCAAGGCGAGGACACCGCCCTGGAGAGGCCACCTCCAGAAGTGGCAGCCACACCGTTTCTTTCTCTGAATGTTGTGAAACACCTGCTACTGAATGGGGTGCTACCTCCTCTTCTGTTTTCACTTCTCTAGTTGGGAGGAAGGTAGCTGAATGGGGGGGGGGAGGTCACTGTACTAAGAATGAGGCTCCAGCCTGCCCAGTTCCCAGGGGGCCTTCCCTGGTGTGGTGACCTCCTGGCTGGGGTGTGACCTTGGCTGGTGTGGTGACTTCCTGGCTGGTGTGTGACCTTGGCTGGTGTGGTGACCTCCTGGCTGGGGTGTGAGCTGGCTGGTATGGTGACCTCCTGGCTGGTGAGCTGGCTGGTGTGGTGACCTCCTGCCTGGGGGTGACCTTGGCTGGTGTGGTGACCTCCTGCCTGGGGTGTGAGCTGGCTGGTGTGGTGACCTCCTGCCTGGGGTGTGAGCTGGCTGGTGTGGTGACCTCCTGCCTGGGGTGTGAGCTTGCTGGTGTGGTGACTTCCTGGCTGGTGTGTGACCTTGGCTGGTGTGGTGACCTCCTGGCTGGTGTGTGACCTTGGCTGGTATGGTGACCTCCTGGCTGGTGACCTGGCTGGTGTGGTGACCTCCTGGCTGGGGTGTGACCTTGGCTGGTGTGGAGTCCTCCTGGCTGGGGTGTGACCTTGGCTGGTGTGGAGTCCTCTTGCCTGGGGTGTGACCTTGGCTGGTGTGGAGTCCTCCTGGCTGGGGTGTGACCTTGGCTGGTGTGGTGACCTCCTGGCTGGGGTGTGATCTTGGCTGGTGTGGAGTCCTCTTGCCTGGGGGGTGACTTTGGCTGGTGTGGTGACCCCCTGGCTGGGGTGGGGTAGCTCCTCCCCAGGTCTGAGGAAGCTTTGCATCTACAACTAACTTTACAGGGGACTCCATTGCTCACTTTCTTCATTCATGTGAAATTAAAGATAAACTGTGGCACTTTAGAGAGTTTTATGGTGGTGAAATATGAGACCTATTTTAAAACCCTGAAATGATAAAAACCAAGAGTCTCTGTAAGGATTATGTAGTAAGAGTTCTTTAAAAGGGAAGCTCTTCAGTCAGCCCTCTGTCTCCCCCACTGAGCACACGGGGGTGTCCTGTGGGCATCTTCCCCTCCTCCCACCCATCCTTGTCCAAATGCCCTGGGACCCTTCGCCTGCCTCGCCCTGGGGGGGGGCTTTACATTGATTTCATCAGTGTGCAGAGATGTCCCATCATTTCCTGACCCTAAGAACCGTACTCTGCCATCAGACTCAGTGCCAAGTGAGCCCTGGTCATTTAAAAAAAAAAATTTTTTTTAAATTTTTTTAAGTGATTGAGGACCTTTGTTTTTATTTATTTATTCATATGTGGTGCCGAGAATTGAACCCCGTGCCTCACACATGCTAGGCAAGTGCTCTATCACTAAGCCTCAACCCCAGCGCGAATTCTGGTTATTTTTAAAGAAAACCAAGTGCAGTTGCCACAAGGAAGCTTCACCACCAGGCCTTCAGAGGAGGCCGCGGCACCTGGGCGATGCGGCAGGCTTAGTGCCTCCCCAGGGTGACCTCGGACGGAGGGCCTGCTCCTGCTGTGTGAGGTTTGCAGCAGTGGACAGGGCCTGCGTGGTGCTCTGAAGGTGGCCCTGGCTGCTCTGCCACCGTGACTATTTTTAAAAGGATATGTTTTTTCTCTTCCTCTCCCCCTGCTCCTCCCTAATCTCTCTCCCTCTCTAATCTCAGGGGACACAGGGTCACCTTCCTCCCCATCCCAGGAGGTCACCTGCCCCTGAGCACACACCCACCACAGGAAGGAAGTGATTCAACTTGGATGGCACCAGAGGGTCTCAGAAATGACTCTTTCCAATTAACAAGTGGATTACCACTCCAACAGAGAACACGACTAGCCTTTGAGTCACTCTTTAAAAGCCCCCTGCTCTCCCTGATGAGCAGCATCCCAAACTCCAGGAAAGGAATGCCCTGTGCTTCTCCTTTGCTAGTAAAGAAATAAACCTTCCTTTTCCTTTTTCTCAAAACTGTGTCCTTGTTATGGGATTGGCACCGGGGACAGGGACGGAGCTTTGGCAACGGCGGTACCTGCTAACAGAAAGGAGAACCTCTGCACGCGGAAGGCCCGGCAGCGAGGTGCTCCCCGGTGCCTACTGCGCACTGTGTTCGGCTCCGTTTCAAAGCTGTCGGGACAAACAGTCACAGACAGAAGAAAAGGCGTTGGCTGTGACCTCGAGGCTGAGCTGGCTTACACGGCACGGCCACTTCAGCGTTCTAGCGTGCCGTGGGGCTGGCTAGCAAGTCCAAGGCGGCCTCTACCAACCTGCATTATCATGGCCACAAAGACGAGAAGACAACGTGGGAAGTCACGGTGCCGCTGACTGTAGTGCTGGGGCTCTCTCAGGGCAGCACAGAGAAGCCAGGCCCCAGCTGCCCAGGTGCACTCCCCAGGCGCACCACGGTCCCCCACAGTCCCATCTGTCCCTCCAAAGTTCTGGGCAGCCTTATAACACAATGGTTTACACGAGAATGAATTTAATACTTTAAAAAGATGTCATTCCAAGTCCTGGGGAAACAAAGATTTCGGCCGCCAACAGGGCCCGAGAAATGGCTTAAGCATTAAAAACAAGAAGGAAGACAATCACAAGGCAAAACTCGCCGCCTGCCCACAGCCATTACCTGAGGTCATTCTACTCTGTACCGCGGTCACTTTGAGGTGAGAAGCTGGGGACTCTGACGGGGCTGTGGATAGCTCACACCCACGTATTTCTTCTCACTCCAGAGACTTAGGGGCGGGGACAGGGAAGGAGTGACACCCACACACCCACAAGGACAGAGGACAGCAGGAGGCCGCAGACCCCA